ACTTTTTTTCAATTTGACCTTGACAGTTTGTATATTGGTAAATTTGACTCCCTGCTGCCTCGCGACCCAACGACTTGCTCGATCCATCACATCGGAGAACAGTTCAAATCCTGAATGGGTTTTTAAAAATTAATTCAATCGTCAATTGAGACTTACAAATACATTCCACATTTCAATTGCTCTAATAACTGCTCCATCAGTTTTATTGAAATTGATAAAACAACTTAATAAAAATATATAAAGCAATCACATTTTAGCCATTCAACTAATAATAATATTTTAGCTAAGAACGTCTCATATTTGATCAATCAAAGTTTATTTTGTTCACTCACACAAGCGAATTACCTGTTGAACTAACAACACGTCATACAGCAACACACTAAACATCAACACATTGCACAATAAGTCACACAACAACATACCAAACCACAACACAACACACCACACAACAACATATCAACATATTACAAAACACACCACACAACGACACATCAGCACATCACAAAACACACCACACAATGCACCACAAAAACATGCTACACAACAACACACCAAACAACAACACATCAACAATTTACAAAACACATCACAAAACAACACACCACACAACAACACACCACACAACACGTCACACAACAATACACAGTAGCAACCTTTGTTGTCTTTATTTCGGTTTGTTCTGCTGGGAATGAAATCCTGATAACCTGCATGACGTCATGACGGTTCATGTTGTTGTTGATGACGATGATTGTGTTAATAAGAAATCAACGCAGGTTATGATAGAAGAAAATAAAATATGTAATTAAATGGTGATGAATGAAATATGAATAAAACCACTAAATGTCATCAGCATCGCCATCACAATCAAAATTCCAATTATACAACATCGCAATTTTCATCAAAATTTTCATCTCCACTCATCAGTTTTGATCTTAAGGTGTTTCTTCGCCCCTTACTATCGGCAAAGTGAAGGTCATCATGTCAGGCTTCACCCCGACCATGTTAAGGTCTTCTTGGACAATAGAGGAACAAGCAAAACAAAGATATGATTCTCAGCTCTGTTAATGACCATCTAAGCCCGATTTAACGCTGAACAATGAATATAAACTACACCAATGAGCAAACATGTCCCAGTGGTGAACAATGAGAGAACATGAGGGAGAGAACATGGTCCATTAATTTACATACTTAAGGAAGAAGGCTGAAAGAGATGCAGGACAGCTATGAAAAGTAAATTTAGGCTTAAATTTGTTTGCAGAAAAAATGTGTCAACATATGACAAAAAAAAGACAAAATGGTTAAGTCATAGAATCTAAGTTAAATCTAGGTTCAGAGGATTCAACAGCCTGTGAACACCGAAGAGTGTATGTGAAAACAAGCTAAACGATGCATCACACACGACGCATGCGACAGGCGGGGATCATTTAACCATATTCGAACTTGGTCACTGCTTGTTCTGCAAAACAGCACCAGGCGACCCTAACCACTTGGCCATCAGTATCAGAATCAGTATCAGAACTTGTATGGCGCCTCTCTCTCGAAAGACCTCAGAAGCGCTTTCTTTGGTGTACAGTGTTGAAATAATAATGTTTCAATGTTTTTTTGAACAGCCATCGATCTGTGATAGAACCATCCCCCAACTGTACAGGATGCCGCCCAAGCGTTCTTGATTTCACCATATCAATCATTCACTTCAATCATGTCCTCAAATGATCTCATCAGCTACCAACAACAATTCCTAACCTATGGTTTCATAACCAGTAGTTCTGGCCAACATGGTGAACAATCGAACAGATATGAACACCTTCAAAATGTCAAAAATTATAAAATAGCAATAATAATGATCATAAACAAAATAGTAAAATTAATTAAAAAAAATTTGGCTTTGAAATACTAAATATTCAATATGATGTGAGTGTTTTTAAATCATTATTAGTAAACAAGTGACCTTTTTAAAAATTGTTTTTCAGTGTCTAAGAAACATTAAACCTTATAAGTGAGCAACTGCAAGTTGTTACCTGTTTAGTTTCAAAGATGCTTTCTTTCCACGACGTCTCTTCATTGCTCAGCGTGCCTTCATCCATATTTACTTTCAACGTTTCAATACTCACTATGTTGCCTGGCCATAATGCAAGTTAAAGAAGTTAGAAGAGAACATACATAGTTTCAAAGAAGAAAGTGACAGCTATGTGTATGCCCATTTGAATACATATAACAGAAGATATAATAAGCACGCCAGCATGATTAAAATAAAGTTCAAAATACTGTTTATCTCTTCCTGTTATTCATGTAACTTTTTGAACTAACTAATTGAACTAAATATTGGATCCCTACTGTTATGTAGGATCGGCAATCATGTAGAAATATACACCACGCAAACAAATTCCTCATAACAACATCTCAATAAATAAGTGATACAACGGCACAGTGTTATTATAATGTGTAAATGCGTAATTGCAGGGCAGCATGTAATCACTACTTGACAGCTTGCATAGCAGGCTTCATCAAAAGAAACAAATCAACACATCAGCCTAGACGAAAACTAAACAAGACTTAGCTTTATGTAATAATAAAAATAATAACAACAAGAGTTGTTGAATAAAAATGTACAATAAAGTTTTTAATACAAAACTTTAGATTTCAAAGCTAGAAGGTATCATTAAAAATAACTTCATCTACAACTCAGGCAAATAATTAAAAGACTTTGTAATCTTAATCTTTGAGGTAAAACAAAGCAAGATATTTTGTTGTTGATTTTCATTCTCTGAATGTTGAACAAGCATCTGGAAATTTATTACCAATATATATATATATTATATAAGGGCGAATCCAGGCAGCCTCGACAGGGGGAGGGGCAATTTTGTTGGAGGGGCCAATTTGACAGGGAACCACTAAACTTTGTGTGATAATGTTTAATATCTTTTTCTTTTTTGGCTATTTTACTACCTAAAACAGTGTTTTAATGCGTAAAAAGCAATCAATCAAAATAAGTTTGTTGAATTTTGAAGCAAATACAAAAAATTGATTGTTGAACTGTTGATGACAGGAGGCAAATAGATTTAAAATCATAGAACTAAAACAAGGAAGGAATAAATAATTCTTTAATTCAATACATTTACAGATAAACGAATTAATTATATTGGGGAGCTGAAGTGCTATTAAGCAGGAAAACAGCGACAAATTATTAATCGTTAATTGAAGAATAATCTAAAAATTAGACCAGACTATTAGGCATATATAAGGGAATCAATCGTGAAATTATCGGTAAATAATTTACGTGAAATTATCAAGAAATAATTTATTACTGATGATCTGATCACAATAGGTACTAAAAAATTTAATTACTGATGTCCAGAACGGAAATAACAACGAAGACCGTAAGGAGTTCGAGTGAACCCGTCTGACAAGCAAGCACAATGCGGACAATGAAAAATTTTTATTAGTGAGATTTATTATGATGCACAGCGATGCATGCAGGGTGCAGCTGTAATTAAATGTTGTTGAATATTTCATTTTGTTTTTTTACTTAGGTTAATGAAACTCATTTTATACCACAAAATTTATTATTTCTACAGCGTTATGAAGTAAGTTGGGTCCAGTGTGTAGGAGTCGGATGAAAAATATCTCACTCCAGCCCACCAAAATAATCCTACTCCGACTCCAAGTAAAAATTTCCAAAGCCTACTACGGGTTCCAAATTCCAGAGAAAGTTACTACTAAATAAAAAATACTTTATAAAACACTTAAAATCAATCAATGTAATTGTTTTTCATAGTAAAATTACATTAATTTTATGTTTTAAATATACTATCAATCAAATAATCTTCGTTTTGCGTCCAGAGACCCAGTTCCCCCAAGGTAGGACGTTATGTTTTAAAATATACTGTAGAACAATTTCAACTTTTGCATCATAATTTCACCTTATCACTATTAGAAAATTATTTTAAACAAACACATAAAATCTATTAATGTAACTGTGTTTCTTAGTAAAATTACTTTTATGTTCTGCAACATACTGAAAACAAAATGTGATTTTGATCACATTATTAGCATTTATTTTCAATATTTATCATCTAGAAACACAATCTTAATAAAATTCAGGAAAAAAAAAAGTTTTTTTTTTAAAATAACATTTTCCAGTCTGATAAAAAAATGTGCTGCTTATATAGTTTTTATAATTGCTTTGGTTAGCAAAGAATTTTTATTGGTCTTTTTGGAGTGTTGTTTGGTTGGTCATTTTGGGATGGTAAGCTAAATAATGACCTTATTTTCCTACCATAAACAAGCAAATAAAGTCATTATTTAGCTTGCCATCCCAAAATCAACCAATCAACACAAAAAAGAGACCATTAAAAATTCTTTGTTAGTCAAAGCAATTATAAATACTATATAATCAACAAATCCCACATTTAATTAATTCCTGATGACATAGTTTGTCATATCTATCACTAAAAATGACCTTGGGAAATTTACTTACTTTATTAAACTTTAATGATAAAAAGTTAACAAGAAACCTTGAAACAATTATGAAAAAATTGAATAATGTTATTGCAGAGATTGATTTCAATAAAATATGTTTTATAAGAATAAAGGAACTACTACCAAACTTTACACACACGCGCGCGCGCACACGCACACACTATATATATATATATATATATAATATATATATATATATATATTGGTCCTGGGTATGACATAAAACTGCATCCACGCTGCCTTGCGTGCTTTTGAGCGAAAGGCTAGGCCCACCGGTTATAACTGGTGGTTGTCGTCAGGATGGGTGTCCGGATGTAAAAATTTTTCCCCAAATTATTCTTATGCCATCACAAAGAAAAACAACGGCCCCTAGTCCCCAGCAGGCCTTAAGTGGTCAAGGGGTGCCAAGAATCCCTGGGAAGTATGCAATAGCGGAGGGATGTTGCAAAAAAATTCAGAATGGCCCCTCTATGGTACTTAGACTTGGAACGCTCAATGTTGGATCACTGACTGGCCGCAGCATGGAAATCGCAGAAATGCTCGAGCGTAGAAGGATTGAAATCTGCTGCCTTCAGGAAACCCGATGGAAATCGAATGGTGTCTGTCATGTCAACTCAGACAAAGAAAAATATAAACTATTCTGGAATGGTCAAAAGACGGCCAAAAATGGTGTTGGAATTTTTGTCAGAGAACCGCTAGCCCAAGAAGTACTGGATATTAAAAGGATTAGTTCACGTCTCATGTGGATCAAGCTTTGCATAGAAAAGCAAACGTTGATTATTTTTTCTGCATACGCACCACAGACAGGCGAATCAGAAGAGATGAAAAATGACTTCTGGACTGCATTCTCTGACACCATCTCAACAATACCAAAATCTGAAACAATCCTGATTGGAGGCGATCTCAATGGCCACGTTGGGAAAAACAGATGGTTTTGACAACGTACATGGCGGGTTTGGCTATGGAAAACGGAATGAAGATGGCAACCGCATCCTTGAGTTTGCTGAAAGTCACGAGTTTTGTTACTGAACACATATTTTAGAAAGAGGTCAGAACATCTCATAACATACAAAAGTGGACATCAGCCACGCAAATTGATTTCTTCGCTGTCAAGCAACAACATCGAAGGCTATTCAAAAACGTCAAAGTTATACCTGGCGAATCATGTGTCGCCCAACATAGACTCCTTGTGGCAGACCTGGTTGTCGAACTGTCAAAACATAAGTCTAAACAAATGCCTCGGAGAATCAAAACGTGGAAGCTGAAAAGCAATATTCATCGAGAAAAATTTCAAAAGATTGTCGCCACACAGTTAGACCACCAATCGCAAGCCAGTACAGATTGGAGTACATACAAAACCGTTTTAATGAACGCGGCAACTATAGTTTGTGGAAAAACTGGTACAAAACGTCAGCATGAACGTGACACTTGGTGGTGGAATGACAGTGTACAAAATGCAATAGCTGAAAAGAAAGTTGGATACAAGCAATGGCAAAAATCAAAGTCTGTTGATGACCATAAAATTTTCCGTGAGAAAAACAACTATGCAAGACGTCAAGTTGCACTGGCTCGGACAGATCAGTGCAGAGAGTGGCTCACTAAAAGCAAAGGTGAACAAATGAAATCTCTGTATTGTATAGCAAAATAAGCAAAGCGTACGAAAAAGACATAGTTGGTGCCTCATGCATCAATAACGACAAAAATGAGATGATTCTTGAACAAGATGAAATCAAGCTACAGTAGAGAGAAAACTTCAACCGTCTGTTAAATAAAACAAATCCTATCAATGTCAACTTTGACGCTCCACCCATCGAAGGTCCGATTCAAGACATCACTGTAAAGGAGCTTACAGAAGCTCTAAAAGCTATGAAGGATGGAAAGGCAGCAGGGCCCTCTGGACTCACAAATGACATTATCAAAGCATCTGGTACTGCAGGTATCCAAACGTAACTACAACTTTGCCGTGAAATCTGGAGAAATTGCTCAATGCCGATTGAATAGAACTAAAGCATGACGGTCCCGCTATACAAAGGCAAAGGTGATCCATTGAACTGTTCATCATATCGGGGTATACGTCTGTTAAAACACTCCCTGAAAATTGTCGAAAAAATCATTGAGAAAAGATTAACGTCGTGCATCACAATCGGAAATTATCAATATGGTTTTCTAGCGGGGAAATCAACAATTGATGCAATTCACATCCTTCGGCAACTGCAACAGAAGTACCTCGCAAAGCATCAACAACTATCACATATTTTTGTAGACCTTGAAAAAGCATTTGATCGAGTTCCCCGTGAAGCAATCAGGTGGAGTCTACCTCAACAACTCATTCCAGAATATCTTGTTCGACTTGTGATGGAAATGTATACGAATACTAAGACTCTTGTCAGCACAACGGTTGGAAACACAGATGCATTTGACATCGGCGTTGGAGTTCACCAAGGCTCGATTCTCAGTCCACTGTTATTTATAACTGTGATGGAAGAAATCACAAAACCGATACGCACTGGTGACATTTGGAATCTAGTATATGCTGATGATATCGTTTTAACAGCCACGTCTGAGCAGAATGCAGCACAGATTGGAACACCAGACTCGCCGATCATGGATTTAAAGTCAACATCAGCAAAACCAAAGCAATGAACACTGGTGAACCCATCCAATCCACATCTACTGGACGATGGCGCTGTTCAGTTTGTAAAGCTGGTGTAGGTAACAATTCAATCAAGTGTCAGCAGTGTAACCAGTGGTGTCACAAACGTTGTTCAAAAATAGTTGGTACTTTATCTAAAGTGTCCAATTTTGTTTGTCCTGCTTGCATCAATCCACAACAACAAATTAAAAATAGCACTGTTTTTGAAACCATTAAAATAGAGAAAGTCACATCGTTTCAATATCTAGGGGATGTTCTGGATTGTACTGGAACAGCTGAAGCTGCCGTTCGAGCACGCATACGTGCAGCCTGGAATAAATGACATCTCCTTGCCTCTATATTGATGCGGCGTGACATCCCACTACCACTACGATCAAGACTTTATAAATCTGTGATACGTCCGGTGTTGTTATATGGTGCAGAAACATGGCCAATGACAACCAAACTGGAACAACAACTTCAACGAACCGACATAAAAATGCTCCGATGGATGCAACGAATTAGTCTGAAGGACCACATCAAATCTACAGAAATCCTACGTCGTGCTGGTTTAGATGATATAAAGGATGAATGCCGGCAACACCGTCTGCGGTGGTTTGGTCATGTCAAACGAAGTGGAAACAGTGCCATAACTTCTCTTGCAGATGTTGAAGTACCTGGCACACAAACCTAAAGGCCGTCCAAAGAAGTCCTGGTTGCAAACAATCGAGCAAGACATGAAAACTCTAAATTTATATGAAATGGATACAACTGATCATCTAATTTGGCGCAAAAAGTTGATGGTCTTGGGACGCAAAACGAAGATTGATTGATATATATATATATATATAATTGATAAACTCTACAGAATTTCGGAATATTTTATCAAATATAGCCAAATATAGCATCAATTATGGTCTTCTTCCAGCCTCTACACACACACACACACACACACACACACACACACACACACAAACAAAACGAAGAAAAAATAAAACAACCAGCCAACCTTCACAAGCATCAACTCCAGCCAATCTATCGTTGATTTGCGTGATGAGTTGAGTGAGGTTGTCTGCTGGCTTGATTGGGTATGTATGCGATCGGATGACCAAGGCTGGTCTGTCGATCATGCTAGTCTGAGGTACTGTAGTTTTCTGATACCAAAATCTAATGTAATAATGAATAATGATCATATTTTCGATTTCATATTAATCAAAAGTAAATAAAATTTCAATTTTCAAACTCAGTACATGTTGTACAGTTGACATCAAGCTAATCAGTTTTATATATTTAAACATTTGAACCAACCTGACACCTCTGAGACAAGCCACAGTACTTGTCTTCCTGAATACAGCATCATCAGAGAAAATGTTCTTCTCACTGTTTCCATACCAGGTGATGGTCTCGCACGTCAGCAGATGGATGTCACTGTGTTCATCCAACCAACTATTAGCTCTTGTCATCATTGAACTGAATATTGAACAAATGATGCAATTTTGATTATATATTATGATACAATAAGAAAAGGTCAAATAAATTTTAAAAAAAAACAAATAGTTGAGTTTCAAAAAACCATGAAAGCTTCAGCTGCCACCACCGCAAATCTCAGCCTTTCAAAGTTAGAAGATTAAAATACCAGACTAACCAAATAATCATGACCTGCTGACCTCAGTTGATCGTGTTCCTAAACCATCAACACCGGTACCAGTCGCTAACTTAAATAAAGCGACGCCTCACCAGTCAAACAGTCCCTCACCAACAACCCAACTTTTAATTTCCACATACAGCTGTTGCAGCGTTCACTAGGGTGTCCTTGAAAAATTTCCAGGTTATGTCTACCTTCTCCAGACAATCCAGCTGTGCCGGTATCAACTCCTTAAACATTAGGTTCTTCGGCTTCCATGTCTTTATTCTAGTAAGCATTCGATCAGTCACAGGGCATGATCGTTCCATGGTCATATTGGCCACCAGCAATCAATGTTGAGGGATGCATGCTTTGCCTAGAATGACTTTAGTATCCGTCTGTGTTGTTGTCTGATGACAATAAAGTCAATTTCTGTGCATGACATCCCACTTTTATATATGATCAAATGTTCTGCCCTCTTCTCAAAGTAGGTGTTCAACAGGGAGAGTTCATGGCTTTTAGCAAATTTCAGAATCCATACACTGTCTTCGTTTTGAGACCCGTAGCCAAAGCCTCCAGTGAAACCGTGGAACCCATTTGCTTTATCCTCAACATAGCTGTTGAGGTCGCCACATATCAATGGTATCTCTGATGATGGTGTTTTCCTGACGGCATTTGAGAGTGTGTTCTAGAAGTCATTTTTGGTGTCTTCAGATTCACTGGTCTGTGGTGCATATGCAGAGAAAACAGTCAGAACCTGTTTTCCCAACCTGAGTTTAATCAGCATTAGGCGTGAGCTGATTCGAACTACCTCCAGTAAATTTTGTGCATGTGATTCCCGTATGAAGATTCCCACTCCATTTTGGGCTGTCTTTTGGCCATTCCAGAACAACTTGTAACTCCCAATGAGAGAGACACCATTTGATTTCCACCTTGTTTCCTGCAGAGAACAGATGTCAACCATTCGCATGTCGATGATCTCCTTGGAGTGTCCAGTAAGCGATCAAGTAATTAAAGTGCCAAGAATATTCCAGGAGGGGACTTCCAATTTTCCGCAACATCCCTCCACTGTTGAGAACTTCCTGGATATTGTCACCCCTTGACCATTTAAGGTCTTCCAAAAGGGAATAGGGGATCTTTTCTTTTTTTGTGATGACATGGAAGATATTTGGGTCAAAAAATTTTTACATCTGGAATTGTCCAATTCCTAACAACCACCAGTTATAAGCAGTGGGCCTAGCCTTTTTGCTGAAAGCACAAAAGACAGTGTGGTTGCAGTTTATCTTGTGCCCAAGAGAGCACTGTTGTCAGCAGTGCAACTAGCCTTGGGGTCGAAGGTCCCTGTTCCACAAGGCTGTGGATTTAGAATCAAAGATCATCCGCTGTTGGAGCCGTTGTCCTAAGATCCTACGCCTCTTTCATCGTTGTCTTCTTACTTTCTTCTGGCAGAGTTGGTTCACGGCATCTTATTCCGTATTATTCGATGCAATCCTAGATCTCCCTGTCCAGGACTTTCCCCTAACCTTCACCTCGAGAGGCTCCTCATAGCCAGTGCACCCCAGCATGGCACAACAATATATTAATATATTCAGCAACACATAACTGTTGCAATTCATATTTATTAAAACTTCCAATCATAGTGAGGCTAACAACGTATTTTCGACAAAGATGTCATCTTCAGA